ATTCTATTTGCGCAGCACACGTTTCAATATTTGTGATTTCTCGGCGGAAATTATATTTCTACAATCTACTTTCGTTGGACGATGATACGGGGTCAAAGAACCGTAGGCTAAGAAATATAATTGAATGTTTTTTAACAAAAAAAAATAAAAAAACAAGAAAAACACGATACACGACACTCAGAAAAACGTTTATAAATACGATTGTTTCATTGTAAACGCAGATTCTGTGGTTCGCGTTTCAACGGATTCGACGATAACTGAAATTCATATTTTGCTTTAAACCGAGTGGATATAATTTATGATAATTACGGCTCGAATAGTACGTTAAAGCTTATAAAATTAACTTCCGTGCCAGATACACTGACGGACATGATTATTTCTGATCCAAATTCCAACACGGGCTTCCCGTAATCCATTTGTGATATTTCTGGTTTCGTCGGATAAATTAGCTAAGTAAACCGTATTATCATACGTCGAGATAACAGTCTTATTATGCACACACAATATTATGTCTCTATTGAACGTATTTATACTCTGTGTGTATTACTTTAGTAATTATTATAAAATTAAAGAATCGTGTCACTTTGAATCGTTCAGAGAACTGAATCAAGTATTACGAACGAAGGAAATTCTATACATTTTATATGCATATTGCGTCGAGTCATAGAGAGTTCCCGGCCATGAAAGATGAAAACTTAATAAACGATAATTAATGCATGAACTGCCACGTCGGTATGTGTGATCTGGCGCTTAATTTTCAGAGTACACAGTGCCTTAATCCACATACGAATTACAATATACATTTTGTACATTATACACGTTGGAATAAATAAAGTTGTATAATAATGTTGAATATTGAAGAATAAAAAGTATAATATGATTAATGAACGATCAAGGCATGGATCTCTGAAATTCTGCGAGGCAGTTAACGTGTTAAATAAGAATTAAAGAGGTACTCAAAATTCATAGAAATTATGAATTTTAATAACGAGTAATACTGCTTCACGTTAATTGCAGTACATTTTAGAATGATCGGTATTTAAGGAACAATAGACTCGACACAATATTTCTTCTGAATACTATACTTGTAAAATTTAGTCAATTTATTAACACGTTCGCTATCAATGCTAGTTTGCGTAGTACCCTTTGAATTCAACAATATACACGTATTACGCTTATGTGAGCGTAGAATGCATTATATAAACAAACTGAACATTTTATTTATATTATAGTATGCTTTAGATTATGTGACATTTTGATATACAGGGTGTCTCAGCTAACTTGGTTATCTCGAACAATGACATAACGGTACAGTTTATGAAAATTTTGAAACGTGGAACTTAAATAGCATCAAGGGGCACATCTTATATAAACTACGGTATTTTTTTGTGGGTGGAGGCATTTCAGAGATTTTAAGGTCGCCTTGATTTTTTTTAAGATGTGCCTCTTGATGCCATTTAAGTTACATGCCGCAAAATTTTTATAATGTGTACCATTAAGTCATTATTCGAGGTGATCAAGTTAGCTGAGACACCCTTGTATATCCATTTGTTTAGAAGGTAAAAAACGAAAACGCATGGCCGTAAAACCATGATCTCTTATACGAGTACGAATCATGATGAATCGGAGGCGTCACATGTACAATATGTGTTTCTAATAACTAGATTGCGGATTTTGATGCGAAATGACATTTTCTAAAGTAATTTTTGACGACAACAGCAAAGGTAGGAATTTAATTCTTATCTTAAATATAAGTAAACTAACTACTAAACAGTAGAAAACATATTGTATCTAGCGAAAGTTTTTTCTCTTTTGTATTACACAAATTAATGCATAAAATCCGCAGTCTAATAATAACGAACGTGTTAAAGTTTTCGATGCCAAGTTTCAACCACTTATCATATTACATCCGTGAAATTCTTGTAGACAGACCAATATTTATAACTAACATTTCTATACTCACAGCATCGAAAATGTCAAAGTACCCGGAATACTTCACTGTCTAATAACGTATTCGCAGAGATGACATTCTTATCGTTTTAACAGTGCATTATTCTACACATTATTTAACTATTCTGTTCTCCTTACGATTATCCCTAAATAATTCGTTAGTGAATCAGTGTTTCGTTTTTTCAAAGGTTACGTGGAGAAAAAATCATATGCAGCGTGTACTGAACCGGAAATTTTTATTAAGGACCAAATTTGCTTTGCTGTATTGTTCCTTTCGAAAACAAATCCATTAACATGCGTTTCCAATTACATCGGGATCTGTGCTCTGAGACATAAAAAACAAATAAAAAAGATTCTTTCTTTTTCGTAATACGGTCACAAACCTATCTCTTCATAATCGACAAATAAACGTATTTATGTTCCTAGGTTAATAGATAATATTTTCAAATTCTCGTGTTCGCACGCGTGAAATGTTTCATTTTCTTTTCTTTTTTTTTCTTTTTTCAAACCTAACACAAGAGTGTCGGTTTCACAGAAGTACGTAAAGTTTCATATACAAAAAAAAACTTCGACCAACATATACGCGAACATACCAGAGATCACACGTTCCTTTCACTTTTTCTCCTGCGAATCTTCATGCAAGTCGGCCAATAATGCATAAACGTTTTTCAATGCTGCAGTCACTGTTTCACGAATTACAAGATCGTAAAGTGCACACACCTTTCGTACGAAACATTAAAAACCAAGTGCACAGTAATGTACGGCTTGCATTTACAAGTGTTCATGATCCAATTTTGTAGTCAATAGAATATAAACTGATTTCGTTTTAGCGTATCGCAAAGAATTTAACCTGATTCGCGGATACAACGAGGTGTACATTTGATGCATTTTCTATTGTACCGTCTTCGTGGAACAATTAGCATATTGTGTGGAAGTAAAATAATACTTTGGAAATGAAGTTCAATCATCATTAAACGTTTAGCATGACGGTAATTTTTGCATTTGAAAAAAAAATTTTTTTTTTTGTTTTTCCTCCTTTTTTCAACGTATTTCCTTTTTTTTTATAGATCATTGGAAATCTTCCAATATCACAAACGAGCTGCTCGTGCTTTAAAATGTTTTGAAAATGTTTAGTTGTAGTATCCGATAATTTCGTCCTTTACTGTCAAAATATATTGTACTTTATGTATTGCAGCTCGTTGCCCTGGACTAGGTCCGGTGCGAATTTTCGGTGAAGGTATGTGACTGTTGACGTTGCATCTTCAGTCTCATAAAGATGTTACTTCCTTCGCCAGAACGAATTGATTCGTTCGTATTTAAAATTTGATGAAACCCTTCGTGATGGTCGGTCAGGGTTTTCTTTGTACATTCCAAATCCAGATGTTAACACAACGCTTCCAACATTGCACTTTTATATCATAAAGGTGCCTTCACAAAAATTTGTTTCCACATCAAGGGTATTTCTCCTCTCCAAGATGAGGCACAGGAACTTCACTTGGAAATACATATCTATGCGACAGACATGAGGGAACGGTTACAAGATTTTCAAGAACAAAATCACTTCAATTACTTGCATCAACAGTCTTCAACGCCGCCAAAAGTATACATGTGCTTTACGTACACATATACGCACCCTAAGTTTTCGCAATACTTCGACTTCCACATACAACATATGGAGAATTACGTAACCCACGGTTAAAATTACTCATCAGTATTAATCATTGAACGAAACAAACACATACATATACAGGGCGTATCGAAACACCAGAGTAATTAGTGAAATTCAACATCGAAAAGTATGTGAAATAGGTTCGTATAAACATCTGTTCTACCTGACTTTGTGGTTTTGGATAATTCTCGTCAGAAACTTATTCAACTCGAACCGTAGGCAGTACCTGAATTTTTCAAATGTTTCAGAAACACTCCAAAGCGTTCAAAAGATTACACGAAAGTCTGACGTAGCTGCTTTGAGCACTTATCACGATGACAGACCAGTTGTAGGCTAGCTGAATGTATACCGAGAATTGTTGAATTACAAAAATTATTGTAACTCGGAAAACAAGGTCAAATAGAACAGATGTTTATGACGAATGTTTTTTGTAATATCCTTGTGTACGGAAGTCACCTCCAAAAATCTGTCTGTATGCATTGATACGCCCTACGTACACATATTCCTTCAGTCTATCCGCATAGTATTGCACTCAGCAATTTTTATTACCCAACTTCTACTAGAAATTTATACTTTTTATCTCACACAAATACCATTCTTTCAAAAGAGCCAAGATGAATATAATCACGACACTTCCATGATACAATTGTAACATCTCAGATATATGGAATCATACACACAGAGTTTGTCTCAATAACATCCAGCTGTAAAACTGATAAATAAACAAATACGCATACGTGTAATGCTTCATGATGTCATTAAGATAAATCTTAAATGATTAGGAATGATTCTATGCATTTTGTGTGAAAATTCATTCAAGTTTTATGATTTGTTTTCGTTGGCACCTTCTTGACTCTTTTAAAGACTGATTAAAATATACTTCACAAAATAGATTCCATGTCGGATCTAATGGTATTTCAAATGACAATTCGGTAAGACCAAGAGTATTATTTTCCTAGTCTATACGCAAGTTCGCCAAAAGAACCATAATAACTTTCACAAACATACAACACAAAAGCAAAATTTTGTGGTGAATATGTAAGAGTATTTTTCTTTTTTTTTTTTTAGAAGAGACACATCCAAAATACTGTTCAACTTATTGAATTATGTATTCCCGTATCGAGAAAACATTAAAATATGAGGAAAAATGGTTATACGTTACATTAGAACCGAAATCATATGCGATTTTACTTTATCAAATAACTCCGATTGGTGAAAAATAGAGCCACAAACAAAACACTAAGAAGTGTTCTTTCTTTTCTAAACTGTTATAAATACAACGTTTACCATAATTATTTCAATAAATCACTGCCAATTTGTGTAATTATTCTCGTTTTTTTTCCACTTTAGAATATTTTACATTCCAACGTGAAAAAGAATGTTTTGCTTATTGATCTTTTATTAGCAATTTTCTTTCCTCTATCGCTTCAGGCATCATAATATGCCTTATCCTCGCAACAATCAGATGCGCGCTTGTGTTACGATCACTTATTGAGATTTCCTACATTAACATCAATTTCCCACATCACATTCTTCTCAAGCTGACAAAAAAAGTGTAAATCGATTGATAATGTCCACACCGCTACGTGTATCGCAGACATATTTTCCCAATATTGAAACGTCGTATGTATCAAATTATGATTATTTTCATTAGCATAAAAAAAAAACGGTTTCTAATGCTTTTAACACCATAATATTAAATCACAGCATTAATGCTCGGATGATGACACAAGAGAGATATTTTCTTACGTCAATGATTAATAATTGTATAGCATATCATTCACGTATAGTAGAATAGGATTGTAAAATGTTCTCTGCAATAGATGCATTACCCGGTATACTATACATACGTTCGTAATTTTGTGACGGATAACGAGACGAAGAAGAATTCTTCGTTCTATCCCTGATATGCATACAAGTCAGTATATAGAACGCTCGTATCAAATACTTGTATTTACCAATATTTGGTTTCTAATACCATGCCTTTCCTTGTTATTGTATTAAATACATATGTGTTGCGTATAACAAACATTAAATTAGAAGTTAAAAATTTTTAAGTCAATGAGTTTTACATGCATTTTTGGAACTACGCACTGATTCGAAAGTTCAATATTTTTCTTCAGAAGTAAAATATATATATATATATAATTGTATGCATGTTAAAACATTCAGTTTCGCTTAATTAAGTTTTCATATTTGTTCTGTAGCAAAATTTCGAATGTTCACACTTTCTGCTCCAGCAGTCAATCTTTCTGTCATAAGACATCTCTCCTGTTGTCATCCACCGCAAAAGCAAAATATCCTGTCAAAACTGATATTATAAGACTAAAGGCATTCCAAACCGCTTTCCATCGCTCTCAGTAATATTTCTCGTTGAAATTTTTGCATCAAGTAAGAAATATTCTACTATTGCCTATTAATGTATACGCATTTCGTTCCATAAACCTAAGTTGTCTTGGCTGGCGGTGCACTTTTTTCTTCACACAAAATCTGAATAATATAAGAGAAATCTGATTCGAAGTCATTTCTTAAACGTCTTTTGTTGTTGTTTTGTTTGTTATTGTACAATTAACATGTACACAGATATCAAAGAGAAAAACCAAGAATAAAAAGGGATTCCATGATGATCTTCTATTATTAGATTACATTTTGGCAGTTAATTCATCATCTGTCACAAAAAATGTTATAGTATGCTATATAGTATGATGTGTAAATTTTCGTGTACCTTTATTGATTTACCTAAAGTGTGTCTTGAGAGTAATATAAAATCCTTCTTAGGTAATTTCATTACTCTTGCTTGTTGAAGCATCAATTTTTACTAGACACAAATACGTAATAGAAATCAGACATTGAATCCCTAACATTGATAAATGCCACCAGCCAGGTATTTATACAAAATAATTATATAAAACTAGTCAATTTTACAACCTCTGACGTTCAATCACAATTTCGTAAAAAAAATTACGATTAAGTTAAAAAAAAACGTTTTTATTACCGCTTTACAGAAAGAAAAGATAGCCTTGCTTTTTTGAAAAGTGATTCGAATTTCAGAGTTGTATGACAGCATTGACAGGTAGCAAAATCAAGCCATGATCAAATATTAAGATCAATACAATATTTCGAATTTGTGATTGTATATTTAAGGAGAATTTATACCTTCCTATGGAGATGCAAAAGTAATAGGCATATGGATTAATATACAATATTCGGATTCTCATAAACAGCACACAAGTATGAATTTCCTTTCACTCTGCTGTTTTTCCTTTAAATCTCACATGCCATCACAATTTTCCTTACAGAACAAAAAAACCTTGGAAGTATGAAGCCGTTGTATAAAAATTTACTATTAAAACGATGGATACTCTTCATGTAATATTTACAGTTGCGGTAAAATGTTATGATTATTATGTTACTCATGTACTCGTTTACATATTGTGCTCTTGATAATGGCTTGACTCTGACGCACTTTAGATTATGTACATTTATATGTATTTATGTACAAAGAATGACTCGCACCGGCATTCGCATCTATTCATTCACTGAGTTCACTGTTTCATAATCAGTATATGCCTTATTTACAAGTAATTCATGTTTCCGCTGCTTACTATGTTAATTGAAATTTTCAATTTTTTTTCTATATAGACCACTTTTTTTATCTAAACGTTCATAGCACTGTTTTGTCTTTATACACTGTTAAACACACCAGACAATTCATTCCAGACCGAAGTAACATTTCACTCTGTTGAGTTCAAAGCATAGCAATGTATGCCTTACACGTACGAGTCACAATCACCATTTTACACTTTAAACTCTTTGAGCGCATGTAAAACTTCATAATGACGATGTATCGAAACTACTTGGACACGTTACCCTCTTCCATACTATTATTGTCTTCTGGTCTTGCTACATACAAATTTGGGTCTATTACCTTTGGGATAGGCTTAATTTCTGTTCCAAGTTCTTGTTCGATACGATGCAAGTTAAAGCGATCCTCATATGTGATTAGGTTAATTGCTATACCTAAATGGCCAAATCGTCCTGATCGACCAATACGATGCAAGTATGTCTCTGCCATTTTTGGAAAGTCAAAGTTGATTACGACGTTCACAGCTTGTACGTCGATACCACGCGTGAAGAGATCGCTGCTAACCTGTAGATACACACAACATCCATTTACATATGTTTGATGTTTCATATCAGAACTTAGTTTGTCCGTTAAATGATATCACGTTTAACCACCACAAATTGACTCTGACCAGCCATGAAAAATAGACCAGAATATATTTACATTTTGTTCATAGGACCACATATATGGTATACAAAACTATTTGATGTTTTTCCATTACAAAACTGTCTACTGGTTTTCAAAGAGTCAAGAGAATATAAATAACAGACATTAGATTTCTTTTACATGAAATACTTTACATGTTGTTAGTTCTCTGCTATTAGTTTGCAGTCAAAAGATAGAAAATGCATGAATACTTATGTCTCGGAAACTGTATAGTAGTACGACACTGACAAGAGTATTGTATAATCTGTTACGCGCCAAGTTCAATGGAATTTCAAACAAAAACATAACTGATAAACTATAACGAGCCCATTGCAACATTAATATCTCAAATTTTAACAAAATTGTGTTTTAAATAATAATGGGTGGGGGTACATAAAAACTACCTGCAAAGAAAAAACTTCAAAGCTACATATAATCAATAATGTTGAACCCTTATTACAATGGTGATATGATTCATTATTCAATTTTTAAGTAATAAAAATGTTAAACCAACTGTAAGTTAGGTATACAGTTCCGTAATTACAGACTAGCAATGTCTCAAATGTTTCAAAAATTGATTATGTTCGTCGTTGTAAAGTCCAGCATGACGCCAGAGATGGCAGCTTTTGGACACAAGAGTACACTAGTGCCAATAGATGCCATGTAGAACAATAATTTTAGCTTAGTTGATAAACGTATTGATTTAATAAAGATTTTCGTAAAGAAACATATAATTTGATTAGTTACTACGACCATGCAGTGTGTCCCAATCATTGAACTCTATACATGGAACGATAACTGTGAGTATTTGAGGTGTTGCCTGCCTGTTAGACAGAGAACACTGTGTGAGAGGTATCCCTATTTCACTCTTAGATAATAAGTAGAGGAAAGTAGAGATATTGAGGGATACCTTCGAAACGACTCTGTTGTCATTTCAGGTATATAGAGTTCAATGGTCCCAATAGGTTGAAAAGTTCAAGTTCAATACTGGTGCCACTGTGACTACAGCCTAACACGGTACACAATTTTACTAAATTGAAAACATTTTTGCGAAAACAATATTCCTTTATATAGTACACTGAAGTATTTAATTTGTCTGTAGGGACATATTGTTGTTTGTATTGTAAAATATATAAAGTCATGTGCTATTATTATCATATACGTATGTATTAATGTATGTACACTGACACAAACTCAGATTTCGCTAGAGGAAAAAGTGGTGTAGGAGAAGGGCCTCCTACCACTTGGTATCGGGAATTATTGAAATTTATGCCAAATTAACATTCGATTTAACATTTATTTCAGTACTTAAAATAAATTTACCAAGTAGTAGGAGGCCCTTCTTGAGTGGATAATTCCAATGTTTTTTTGTTTGGCAAAAAGATAAGCATAAGTAAAATGCTGCAAATAAAACCACTCTTCTGACATCAAACTTAGAACCTGTGGGAGTTACTAATGATGTGGCTTACTAGAGCAAGTTTATTGGAACAAGAGCTCTCTGTTATTGATACTTTTGAAATCTTCTATGCAATTTTTGTCAAAAATAAGAATCTATGAAAAAAAAAACCAAATAGAAATAGTTTTTGAATACCTTTTGCGATTACTCAAAAAGTTTCAACAGAATCTGAAATATTGATATAATGTCTCCTCATAAGCTACTTAGGACATAAGTATGGATGATATACTGTTTGTAAAATATACATGTCACTGAAAACTAAATGGAACTTTTACAACAAAAAATTATTTAAAAACTGTTCACTTTTTAACCATTACGTCTATCTTTTAACATTACTTTTTCATATTAATACTTTATCATTATTTGAAAGTTTGTTTTTAACAGTTAGTTCTGAAACAAGTTCTGATAGAACATATGTTATTTAACAGTTATTTGAAGGTCAAATGTAAAAGTTAAACATTTTGTAAAATAAATAACATTATTGAAGAAATTTAAAAAAAAATGATAAACACAAGCAAACAAGAGTCGAATAAGAGCATTAGTCGGCAACCTATTACATACACCATATTTTATGTTCGAAAAGAATAAAAATTTTGTCCATACTTAAAATGTACAGGATAGAAGTGTTATTGAGTCAATTACATTTTATAACCACTTTCCTGGATCACAAAAGGTAACAATAAGAAAAGTTATTTTAGGTAAAAACAGCTGCAAATTTTGACAATTTTGTTCAATGTGTTACCTAATATTGAAATATTTTCTGTTATGAAATAAAATCGTAAAATAATTTGGTCTGCAAAGAATTCAATAAACATTGTTTATAAATGTGCACAAATAGAAATAAGTTCAAGAGTATGGGGTCTTCCATGCACATTTCTTATTTTCGTTATAGTTTTTTAGTGAAATACAGAACATAGAAGTATAATGTAGTTCACAGAAGCTATGAAAGTTTTAATCATTATTTTGTTTGATTGAAAATGTTTGTCATTTTTCCTATCTTCCCAAAAACAGGTTACACAAGTTGATTTCGATATTCAAAATTGATCTTTATGTATAAATTTTCATTGAGGCGTGGCAATTATCTTTCATCCCTTAATTTTATATAAAAACAATTATTGATTTAAACATAATGATTTATAATTTACCAGCTACTTTTGTCAATTGAAAACATGTAAAGTTATAGATATCTGTTTCAGAAATAATCTTTCTAAAATAATATTTACATACAAATTTTACTTTATGCTTTTGTTTTATCACTTACCAAGTTTCTGCATAGTCCTGCTCGGAAATCGTGAAACACGCGATTTCGGTGTGCCTGCGCCATTTTCGCGTGTATATAATAACAGCAGTAACCAAGATCTGTTATCTTTTTTGCAAGTAATTCAACGCGTTGCGTTGAATTGCAGAATATTATACTTTGTGTTATTTGCAACTGAAAAAAGAAAAAGTAAACTATACAGCCAAGTATATTTAAAGAAAAAAGAATAATATAGAGGTTACAAGAAATCTTTAAATACTTAGAAAATCAAAACCATATTACCTTGGAAAACAGCGTATTAAGGCAATGAACTTTTTGTCGTTCTTGTACAAAGGCATAATACTGTGTTACACCTTTCAATGTGAGTTCCTCCATTAAATTAATCTCGTACGGATCTCTTAAGTGTTTCTCCATGAATTGTTTCACCGTCAAAGGAAATGTGGCTGAATACAGCAATATCTGACGTTCGTGTGGTAATCTGGATATCGGAAATGAAAATAAAATTGTTTTTTTTATATTTAACATAAATGGTACAGATGGAATAAAATAATTTTTAAAACCGTGCATTAAAGTATATACAACACACCTAGAAATTACATGATCCAACATTCCTTTAAAATCTTGCGATAGAAGCTTATCCGCTTCATCCAAAACTAGAATTTTACAGTGATCCATATTTGCAACATTCTTGTCCATGAGATCAAGAATTCTTCCTGGCGTTGCAATTATCACTTGCACTGTAATTAAACATATCGCAATTGAGAATTTCTTTTCTAAGTTCATATATTGTGCAATCTCAAAATTGATTAATGAAACAGCATCAAATAAATCACATTATTATATTAAAATAATAGAACAGTAAATATTTCTTATCATTCCTCATATCTCAGTGTTTCATAGGACAGTCATATTAAGAAAAATCTAAACGAATCTGCAATGAACCAATACAGACCTTTCTGGTAAATCCTCATAATATCATCCCGTAAGTTTGTTCCTCCGGTAGTTACCATTACTTTTATATCCATGTGTTTTGCCAGTTCAATACAGATTTGTGATGTTTGGAGAGCTAACTCCCTGGTGGGTACAATTACCAGTGCTTGGATCACATCTTTTCGTGAATCAACCTAAAATACGGGATTGCAAAGAATATTAATATAAGAGAGATTAAAATTAAAAGGCACGTTTAGCATTTGAAGTGAAATATCAGTAACAGAACCTGTAAATAATGTACCTGTTCTAGCACTGGAATTGAGTAGGCCCCAGTTTTGCCAGTCCCATTCTTTGCACGGGCCAAGATATCTTTACCAGACAATGCAATAGGAATACTGGCTTCTTGAATCGGAGAAGGCTTTTCCCAGCCTTTCTCAAAGATTCCCATTAATAGCTCTCGCTTCAGGCAAAACTCTTCAAATTCATTGCCACGAGTATCGGTAACATCCTATAAATTGTCACGTTACCGTAGCATTTTGTTAACAAATATAAGGGAAATAATTTTACTTAGAAAACTGTATTTCACATAGAAGTTTAATTAAAATTTTCATTTACTATGTACAATAAGTAGTACGGTTAATTGCAAAAATTGTAAGAATGAATTTCATCTACTCTATGTAACTTACACTAGTTTTAATTCTTTTGTCCTTTGGTGGAATTTTTAATTTGGCTTTCCAACCGACATCATCCATTTTGTCTATCTCTGATTTGGGTGCCAAACCAGAATTTAAGACATGATTGGAGTTTATATGTGTTTCTGTCATCATTTTGATACAGATGAAGTATTTTATTTCCTGAAAATAATTAATAAAATTACATATATGTTTGCAAGCTCATAAACAATTTCAGAACAACAGCCAATAATCTGATTGTATAGAATTTTTTTTAATCAATCTGAAATTACATAACTCACATTTAAAATATACTATAAAATATTTACCCAATATCAGGGAGAAATTAGAAACTGAAACTCACAAATATATATACGAGTTACACAACTAAGAACTTATAGGACAAAAGGCAAGCAGCAAGCATGAGTGACCTATTGGATAGACTACAACAGGATGTAAACATTATATGTTCTCTCACTGGAACAGTACTAGTTTTTATGTGCTACAGCTTAAAGGAAGATATAGGAATTCATGTTATTATTAGTTACTGGCACTGCTCATAAAAAATTTGAATTATAGAAAACCTTCAGAAATAATGATCAAACAACAGGTGTACATATATTATAATAAATTACATTGTACAATATATTACTCACTATAATGTATAGAATAAAGTTCACGTTTAAAAACGTTTGTTTGAACAATATACAGAGTACTTCAATCAATAAAACAATTACCCCATTCTGTAACAGGTAGAATATATTTCGTAATCTTTACGTAATTTCCAATTGAAATAAGAAATCGTAAAATCGTAATATTTTTCCAATAAACGAAACCTGCGAATGAAATTCTAACGTGCCACATTTCCACTAAGAAGATATGTGACTTGCTTATTTGGAACGTTCGCTTCAAATATTGGCAACATTTTCAATCTGTGTACGTACAAAATACCCCAAGATTTTTCTATCATGAAATAATATTCATTGTACAGGAACTATAAAGTACACGTTTAATGTGTTAACGAGGGCCCATAACAGGACATCAATTTCAAGACGTCGCGCGTTATTACTATGGGGCATAGGTATTCGGACAAGATGAAAAACAGAACAGCAGAGTAAAGTCCGTGTAAAGTATATCAAAATTCTCGTTTCTACGTAACGAAACGGAAATCTCTCAGAATGAACGTACACGAGAGAACGTAGAGCAAGAATATCACAAATGCATAATCATTCATTTCTCGAAAAGTATTCACAACTTGGAACTTACTTACCTTGAAATGGATGGATATCGATGCTGAGCTGAGCACTCGATTAGGAAACAACACGCCAAAATGGCCGTTCCAATGTCAAGTTTTCTCTGCAGTGCCTAACCGCCGCGTTTCTGTTACAAACCACTAACACAGATTTACTAACTCGGAAAGCGTATCGCGTAACACGCGGCACTATATAACGTTCTTCTCCGTTTGTAATATGAGATTAACGCACTGCGTCAAATGCGAGCGATAATTATTCCTCGTTGAACGTACACGACATGCGCCATGAAAGAATAAAAACATTCAGACCAGAAACCGTTACGTCGTCGCGCGCACTCTGTAGATAGTAACGACCAATTGCGTGGCGAAGCTTTAAGACGGATTTTCAAATCCCCCTCCCCCTATTGTCCAAATGAACACAGCCAACAGTTACCTTACCGTTATATAAAAATTTTAAATTAAAATTGTTATAATTACAATAGAAAAACAAAGTAGAAATATAAAGGAATACAAAAGTAAGTATAAAGTTTAATTCATAATTTTCTTTACTGTATAGATATGGTTCGAAACTAATTTGTCCGGTGAAACTGAAGTTTTTCTAATCTGAAGACGCGGGTAAAGGACTGTACTTATACCTATATATATATACATACATTCTAAATTTTCTGAAAATCGTAAAACAATTAGAATCCTGCCTTAATGATTTAAATATTTTCTCGATAATGACTGTGTTTTCCTATTAAAATAAAAAACTATTTTACGTTTGTAATTCACGTATTGCATGATTACTAATGTTTGTTAAATTGACTATATAAGGAACAAGTATCAATGTAGGTTTTTACATATAAGATTTTATTACATAGTAGATTTGTAAAATTATATTTGAACAATAACATAATGACAAATCACATTCAAATTTTATAGTACTGAAAAACAAAATATATTTAATATATTTATATATTACACATTCTTATACATAAATAAAATATGTATATATTAAAGAAATAAAATGCATCCTCTAAGTACAACTTTGTTCTCGTCTCTGAGATATTCTATATTTCCTACACGCTTCGGGACAATGCCGTTCTAGATATCGTCTTTGGGAGAATGCTTTGAAACATTCTCCACATCGCCATTGCCATTGATGATGATTTCGTGTCCTTTGATGTGCACGTAGATTCGAACTGCAAAACGTACGTTATACGAGAGCATTTACTTGAACAAAATATTTTTATATCTATACATTCACTGGATACATATTATTCCAAAAGAGAAGCACATGGAAAAATTGAATAAAATTGGTTAAACTTAACGTAGAAAACTTTGGAACCAGTGCCTTAAGAAAACTAAACATCATGTTTTTACTGTTATCATAATTTATATTCTAAATTAATCGATTGAATAATGAGTCAAATAGAAAATTGATTACTCATTACAAAATGTTTTTCCGAACTCTAATTATAAATTGCGAATCACAGTATTACAACTTCAAAATGAGGATTATGTTAAAAAATAATTATCTGTATGTCTATTCTATATAAATTAATAAGTAATATATTATTATACATAACACAACTTTTTTATTTTGCAACCATATGCACATAGTACGTACAATCCCAAATAGCGCATTAACGGCCAATGACACCTTGAAGACGCCTTAAAGGCGCCTTAGACCTAAAAGTAGACCATAATCATGTGCTATTTGGGATGTAATACTGTATTATGTATAATTACCGATTAATTAATTAAAGTGTTGACAAAATTTTACTGTGTTTGTCAACTGATTAAATCTGTTTAATCAATGGCAATGGTGCCGTCTAAAATAATCCTCATAATGAGTAACGATTATTTATTAATTATAATTGTTAAGTATTCATGATTTTGTTTTGCTTAGCTCTAAATCACAGTGTTATAATTATCGTTCAATCAAAATTTGTAGCAAGTACTCCTGAAATGGTCGTATTAAGTAGGAAACAAGTAATAAAGGAAATATTAAATCGAAAATGTATATGTACCGATCGGCGAAAGACTTATGACATACTGGACACTCGAAAGGTCGTTCGCCAGTATGAAGCCGCAGATGACCCTTCAACACCCACGGACGATCGAAACTTTTCCGACAGAAAGGACAATAGTGCATGGTTTTGTTTCGTTTCCAGTTCTGAGTAGTCTCAACTCCGGTTGTTTTTATATTATTCCCGTAGTACTGATTCTGCGAAGAATCGATCGGTTTCTTGTTCGGTGTCAAGTACAACGTACTGGACTCCGTTTTGCCTTCAACTCCGTCCTCGTACGGTTTGTTCAAATTCACTGTTACATTGATTTTATTTTCGGACCCGTTTATCGGACACTCTACGTTATTGGCATTCGAGGACAACGATATTTGCACCGTTTCCAGTTTCTGCTCGTAGTTTGTATTGACGATACTTTGATTGGTCTTAACAGAAATATTAGCTGCGGTTGATTGTAACGAGTTCCCGATTTCCGAAAGATTCGTGGTATTTAACTCTGTGCTACTGGACAATTGCTTATTCCATATCATATTGTTTTCTTTGTTGAAGCTGTAACGTGTTACAATTGGAAGCTTCGAGGAGGTCCAAATGTTATTACATTTCGCTGAATTGTCTTTAGTCTGGTGCTTTCGTTTGGCATCGATCGATGTCGGTGGGGTCCATGGTATTTCGGTCTCTGTGTATATAATATGTAAAAATATTTTATTCTTTTTTATTTCAATTTAACGTGAAATGTGATGACTTGATCGTTATCGAACGTTAACGGGGAAAAGCGTGTTGAATATTCAATGTGAATACGTTTCACCTCTACAACAATAACGAGATGGAGCTGTAGATTGTAGAATACTTTTCCATAACCATGACAAGATTTCACTGTCGTTACTTTGGTACACTGTACCTTACGTTCGGGAGCAGCTAAAGAAGAATTTATTGTCTTACCTTCGGTGGAATTGTTCATCTTCCTGTATCTTCTCATCGACTTTATCAAGCAACGAGGCATACTTTTGCACAAAATAGTAAACACAGAACTTGCCAAAAAGAATGAAAAAGAATTAAGTGCCTGCTCGTTGCAGAAGCAATGGAGCAAACTACTGTCACAAGGTCATTAGGCATTTGTTTCTCTTTTTCGCCAGTATTGTATTATTTAGAAAATCACCCACGGCATATGTGAACAAATATTAAAATATTAATCAATTACTTATTGGAAAAGTACCACAACTACACAAATCTTTTTTATAATTTATAGCTATTAACTATTAATATTTTATTCAATGCGCATAAATAACAGTTACACAATTCAGATTTGTGAATGTATTTGTGTTAGTGCTCTGTCGATTTCTAAATTATTGAGTGTTATTTAAATTGATTTATAGTAATAAAACTGTATTCTCTGAAATATTTGTAGTGTTTTTGTTAACACTGTAGTAATTTATTAATATACGACGTGAATTATTATTGATTACATAAATTTCCAATCCAAATCTTCTGGATTATTATTGTTAAAATTTATATATGTTTATATTTATATTAACATTTATATAGTCCATAATTATTTTATTGTTTACAACAGTTAAGTAAACGATTAATAAAATAACTTATGACATTAATAATTTAGTAATATAGTGTTAATTTCTAACCATTTAATAACAATTTTTATCTTCTTTCTAGAAATATGTTATATTTTTCGCATAACTATTTCTCTAGTTAAAATTGCTCAATCAATGCTTTCAACTTTTATTCGTCTAATATTATTTCGTGATTGAGTTTATTTTGTAATATTTTTCAGTATAGATGAAAAAAGCTTTATTCGAATATTGAACATCAAATAAATATATACTCATGGTCGTTATATGATTAAATATAATTCCCTTCCATTTAAACAGGTTAGAATTATTTAAGGAAATACATTATAATGTATATTTATTAAAATTGGTTTAATCACAACTACGCTAGCACCTGCACAGAATTTTTTTAAAAAATGTGACTACATTTAAAAAAACCCATTATGTAATATCACCGCAACTTATCATTATAATTACGACTTTTATTTAATAGGTAAACGTTGTACATTTTTGTGATTAATTGCTTGAAATTTTTATGCAAATAAAAAAAAGATCGTAGCATTATATCATTACGTACTAAAAATTACTCCGCATTAAACAATAATATGCAAAAATTATAACATTTTGAAGCGATAAAGTAGAATCATAGAATAATTATAGCAATATCACCTATTCCTATTCGTTTTCAACTTGTTTCTTACAGGTCGAACGAATTCAAATTTAACGCTCGGTAAGATGACTCAAAACATTGTCGAATATACTTATACAAGGTTTGTATACATTTCTTATGACATACTTGTACATACGTTGCTGTTTGTATCGTGCGGAATTTACGGTAATTAACAAACGAGTTACAGATTGGCATTATAATTGTTCTTCAAATAATACAAATAAAATTCCACAAAGCTCTTCGTTGCACGTTTAACTGTTGCACACCGTAGTTATGATCGAACACAAAATATTATCGATTTTATTTGTTACTTTCAATTACTTTTATAGGGAGAAGAGAACGTAATCCAAAACAATTTATGCTACAAATTTAATTTTTTCAAAATAAGAGTAAATTGTCAGATAATTTCTTCTTATAAACGATCAAAATTTATCTATATCCATATAATAAACATTGCAAATCAAGAAATAAAGAAATATTTAAGAAATAAAATTTAAATGACTCGTCCTGTATACATATAATATATGTATTACATAGTAATAAATACAAATTATTCGACTTCTTTATATAGATACGATATAAGTACTATAGTAAATGTATTACTAAATAATAATATTAAAAAGATTATGATATTTTTAAGATAAGCAGATTGACTTCTACAATAAGTACAGTCATGTTATCTATCCTCATTCATTTTCGACTAATTTTATAAAAGTTGAAGGAATTTGAATTTAATTTCCAAGACGACCCACAACGTCATCGAACGAATTTGTACCTGGACGTGTATACGTTTCTTATGACATACTTATACACCACTGTATAGTGGGGAATTTACGATATTTAACAAACAAGTAACATAATAATATTATAATTATTCTCTGTATAATAATATAGTATGTACAGTATGTAAATAATAAAGAACTGCAGGTATTATTAATTTCATTTACTAATTTCGACCAATTTTTGTAAGATGGAAAAAAACCTCTCTATTAATTATCTATGTATTATACAATAAATAATTTAAAAAATACTAAGTATTGAGTAATTGGTAATCTGTGTTAAGTGAATAATAAAAATAATCAAAGTATATGTATATATTTGTAGAAGTCGAATAATATACAAATGTCAGTCACAGGACTATTAGACCGATATATTCATGACTTAACAAACTTCGGTGAGGAAATAACATCTGAACCAAGAACATTAAAAACAAAAGAAACATATATATGTACAGTTATTATAGGAAAATTAACTGAAATGCTTTTTTGATATTCATTGAGTACATTAGTACTAAAAAAATTTAATAAATTCCATCAATAATGGTAAATAATCATTGGGTATTTAAGTGAATAAGTATGAACTTAAGAATTATTGTAATAATTATTTATCACAAATTTATTATTCAGTTGGTAATAATTCTAACAATATAATAGAAAAACGATACCAGAAAATTAACAATTACAGCGTTAGCACATAACTTGTTAGACCATGTTATGTATATACGTCAAACTGGAGATCGTTACGATGATATTATAGTTTATAAATAAATTAACGAAATGCTTCTAATTAATTAGTACTGAGTGAATTGTATGTTGTATCCATTGTTAATTGAAAAAATTAGGGTGGTACACAACATTTTTCATTTGAAATTAACTTCAGGCACCATTCGATAAATATTTCTATTATATTTCCTTCCTGGCCACACCCTGTTTACGTACATTCATAGACACCATCTCTTCTATAATTCGGCTGTATATTCTGTATCAACCTTTAGTACCTTTATAACAGCCGCAGCGATAACACGGATCTGACAATTTTCATACACCATCGATAGTCCGAATATTTATGAAATAGAGATATTAATTTTTATCTCTATTTACATAAAGCGTGAAATATCTCTGTAAGTGTATTAAATACTTTTACCATTTTATTTCCCTTTACACAGAATTTAATTTCACAAAATTACTTTTAGAGTCTTTCTCTTAAGTAAAAATTTTTAATTTATTACTAATAATTCCATTCTCGTAAAGTACTCATACAACGAAAGTTAACTTAAAAAAATAAATATGTAAGAATAAATATTTAAACGAAAAAAAAATTTAGTTAACATGGAGTAAGTAAAGACTTTATAATGAAATCATAAACATCATCGTATTTTAATTTTAATTTTACCTTTCCATTAAATTACTTTAAGACGTTAATTATGAAAATCAATTCCACAATGTTTTCAGAGCGCCTGTTTAAATTCGATAATTCTACAAATCTGAGCATCGTAAGATGTGGATATCTATATGTTATCACTTTTCCATTATATATGTTATTATCGAAATAAATTAAATTCTAAGTCATGGTGCGCAGAATTCTAAACTTTTTTTTCAATTTGAAAATGTTCGCATTTCTGATAGTTTGTAACAGAATAATTGCCACCGTGAGACCAATAGTACAGAATTTTACCGGAAGAGATCTTAATTTCACTGCATCAAGTTCAAACTAATTCAGTAAATTTGTTACAGATTATGTGCCGCAATTCGTTCATTTTTCTTCTTTTGAATGTTTTCCTTTCCCAAATCGATTCCACAGGTAAGTCGATTACATTTCGCTGAATTGTTAACCTCAACAATGTTAACATACTAATTTATTATTGCTGTTGAATTGGAAGCTATACGGTCCGAGCGATCCGAACATTTCCTATGTGAGAACAAGCAACTTATTTTATCTGTGTATCTTTGTGACGGTGAAAAGGATTGCATAGACGGATCAGACGAACAAAATTGCACGAACTTTCAAGTAAGTACAATCATTATGCAAGAATACTATCAGAAAATTTTTTTATTTCAATAAGAATGACTCAGTATACAGTAAATCCTCGATGAATGTTCGAAGACTCCTGACTTTTTAATGAGGTTTAGCACAGCGATAGAGCGTGGAATTCTGAAGCGAATGATATTTGTTTCCGCTGCATATGGCCATTAATTTATGAAATATTTCATGTTCAGTGCCGAGGAGCCTTTGAACACTCATTGAAGATTTACTGTAGCATCATTACCTTAATCCAATTCGAAGAGAAATACTAAATATTTCTTAAATTGAATGTACTATTATTTTGCTTAAACAAACACCAGCTGCTAAAAAATTTAATGTCAGAAGTTAAACACTGTCTTATACAGTTAACATGGCTGGAATTATAACACTACTTGTAAGTGTTTATACACCGATGATGGAAGTATGCCCAGATAGCACATGACGCCTTGAATACAGCTTAAAGACGCCTTAGACCTAAAATAGCTGTAAAATGGACGTCTTCAAGGCGTCATGTACTATCTGAGCCAGGAAATGTTTTATAAACTTTAGTACAATACCATTTGGATTGCAATACAATAACACAGAGTATTAACAAAAAAAATCCAATATTTAATAAAGTTTTGCAAGTTTGTAAAGCATTCAAAACTAAGCGACTCCAGCTTTCTATGTGACATCTACCCAGATTATCAGTTGTTACACTGATTTATACCCAAACTTTTTCCAATAATTACGTTTTAATTTTACATAAGACGAAATGATCTTAAACAGTTGAACTCTGAGAAACATAGTAGAACATATGTATTCAGTTAATATTTGTAATACTAACAATTCAATAAGAAATTTTAAAATAATTTAACAAGAAAAAAAATGTTAGCATTTCGGAAATTTTCAAGTTATTTATATTTACTGTTTTCCTTTTAGCTAAACAGTTCGACGTTTCGATGTGCCACAGATGAATTTCAATGTTCCGACGGTTCTTGCATATCGATCGAAAAATTTTGTGACACAAGATCGGATTGCATCGATAAAAGCGACGAATATGTGGGCTGCGTCAAAACAGTAAGATTACGTGCTTAAGCCCTTATACTTCGTCTTCCAATAATATTTCTTTACATTTATAACTGCACATTGTAAAGTGCCTTAGATGACATTTTAAGTAAGCTAAGAACAAGAAACGAGGAAGCGTCGTAAAAAGAGATTGTAAAATTTTAATTTCTTGTGTTATTTTCGTTAGAATCGAATAAAAATCAAAACCGAACATTTCATGATATCAACAGACGCCAGTGGATGAATATGTCCTCAGATAGAACATGATGTTTTGAAGACGCCTATTTTACGGCTATTTTAGGTCTAAGACGCCTTTAAGCCGTCTTCAAGGCGTCATGTGCTATCTGGGTTTAATATCATATATTCAAAAATTTAACGTACTGAAATGAATTGAAACTTGTCCACTTTCTCTCACCCGTAATTTAATTTTATCAGACTTTTATATACCATATTTTGTTATTCGCAACAGTTAAAATGCGACAGTTTTCGATGTAATGATGGCCATTGCGTGAGAAATGAATGGGTTTGCGATGGTATCCCCGATTGTCCTGACAGCAGCGATGAAGGAAATTGCGGTAATTTTCATAACATTTTTTCATTCTTTCCCAGATATCACAAGACACCTTGAAAACGCCCATTTTACAGCTATTTTAGGTCTAAGGCGCCTTTAAGCCGTCTTCAAGGCGTCATGTGCTATCTGAGTTTAAACGTTAAGTCGATATCAGTATAGGTATTTCAATTTCTTTGTCGTAGAAAATAAAACTATACCAATCCATGAATGTAACAACGAATTCGATCGATTCTTGTGCAAGAATAAAAGATGTATTTCTCTGAATGCAACTTGCAACGAAAAGGATGATTGCGGCGATCGTTCCGACGAAAATATCGATGGGTGTAAAAAGGGTATGCATTTACGACAAATAATAAATATTGATTATCAAATCATTTAATCAAAATATATGGTACGAATAATTTCGCGTTTTAATTTATAGCTGATTCGTCCTGCAAAGAAACGGCACAATGTGAACACCATTGCCAAAGAACTCCCGAGGGTGCTCAATGTTCATGTAAATCTGGTTACAGATTACTCAATAATCGGACATGTTCAGGTAAAAATTAAAATATACCAACTTGCTTTTTACACCAAAATTGAAATGACATCGATCAGTAATTGTCGATTTATCGAAAATTTTAAACTAATATTAAAGCCGTGTAATATTTAACAGATCAAATATGTTTTAATTATATTTATAATCTGATACACTTGTTGAATTCTAGATGTAAACGAATGTGAAAACTATGGCACATGCGATCAACGATGCATTAATATTGCTGGTTCCTACATGTGTTCCTGCCAAGATGGTTACATCTTAAGTGATGATAAAAGGACTTGTAAAGCTGAAGGTACTGAAATTCTTTAACACACATACATATTTCATGAGTAATAACTAAACTGTTAATTTTTTTGCATTTATAGCCCATGGGGGTCTGTGAAATACAATAAAAGACAAAATTTTTTCTATTTTAGTCCGAACCCAATAAGATACTTAAGAGGAAAAGTACATTTCTACATTTACTCCAATATTTATAAATTACTTTAGAAAATGTTATTTTGCATAAAAATTTGCAGTCTAGTAATAACGATTCACTTGTCTGATTCATCTCCTGATCTACTATACCATAAAGTGCTGTTGATTACATTGTGCATGTATAAATAACGTTTTACAACAATGTGTACATTTGTAACGAGTTATTAACGCTTAAAATTTTATGTTTAATTTTCGTATAGATGGTGAAGCTTTGATGGTATATTCCATGAAGTCTGAAATCCATGGTTTGTTCCTTCATTCTTTCGTATCTTACTCAGTAGTCGGAAACTTGCAACATGCTATAGCTGTTTCCATGGATGCTAATCGTTTGTACTGGTCCGACATTGAAAATGGAGAAGAATCAATAATTAGAAGTAGAGACGATAGTTCCCAGCGAGAAGTCATTGTTACCACAGGTAAATAATCTAAATTTATTGTAATATAACATCATTGTTACGTAATACACAGTGGCACATTCATTGCAGGAATTTAAATTTGTAGGTAATAAAACTTACAATTTATGTTTTTAAGGTCTAAATAGTCCAGATGATATAGCCGTGGATTGGGTAACAGATAATGTATACTTCACTGACAGTGGTTTCAGACATATTGGAGTTTGCAGCAATGATGGTTCTTATTGTACTGTTATTGTTGAGGAAAGGAGCAGTAAACCCAGAGGATTAGCTTTGTTACCATCGAGTGGGTATGTATCTTGAACACAATACTTCGATCTTCTGCAGTTAAAACTTAATTCTCGTATTCTAATTAATCATCTGGTTTAGTATAATGTATTGGACAGAATGGGGCTTAGATTCGCGCATAATGATGGCGAGTATGGATGGAAAAAATAGCAGTGTCTTAGTCACAGAAAATCTAGAATGGCCAAACAGTTTGTCTATTGACTATGCCAACAACAGATTGTACTGGATAGATAGTAAACTAAAAATAATAGAATCAATTCGTTTAGACGGTTCTGATCGCAGGGTATGCATTCCTTTGTAGTACTTGTTGGAATAGATTTACGGATTCGAGATTATAGTTATACCTTTTCAGACTATATTAAAGGGCATAGGAATGAAGCCTTTTTCATTGGCAATGTTTGAAAATAAGCTGTTTTGGAGTGACTGGACATCTAAAACCATACAGTCGTGTGATAAATACACTGGCGAAGATAGGAACATTTTAGTACATGAAAAGTCTACTATTTATGGCATACATATATATCACTCTGTTTTGAAACCTAAGGTAAATTTTGTCTTCCATTATACCATTGGCGTAACTAGAATTTTTTTCTGCGGGAAGGGGGGGGGGGCAGGTCCCCTGAGTTTCGCTCATAACACTCTCCATCAAGCATCTGTACGTAATTTATACCACGTGTGTCGGTTGAACAAAATAAAGTTACACATTTTACAATAATTATTTTCAAATTTGGTTAACACTAAAACTAGGAACAGAAGGATATAAATATAATTCTTAAAAAGAAAAGAAATTTGAGATTGATTACAATCAAGAGTATATTATGTGCAGATACCTATAATTAAAACCTATCATATACAAGCTCCAATTTGCTGTTTCTTTTTCTGCAAAAATATTTTTCACATTTTCGAGCGCTAGTTCCCTTAATTGCATTCGGCCCTTCAATTGATGTTGCAGGATTATTACAATAGTTAAGTAGAATGTAAAAATTAAACAGCTTAATTCTAATGCAATTTTATTTAATACTTTAACGTAATAATACACTTTTTTTACTTGCAAGGGAAGGCACGGAAGTGCCCCCCTCCGATTTTGATGAAACTTCATATGTCTGTTAAGCAGTCACAAATAAGGGATACGTATTTTTTTTATCGGCTGGGACGCGACTTTAAAGGATGAAACCACCCCTCAAAGTTTCGACCCGAAAGTACTATTTCGAAAACCAGAGGAGATACATGAAAACTTCTAATGGACAAAGTTTGCGGTTTTTTATGTAGAATAATATGGTGCTAAGAAATTATCCAAAATATAATTTGTTTATAACAAAAAAATTTCGGATCGAAACTTCGAGGGGTGGTTTCACCCCTTAAAGTCGCGTCTCAGCCGATAAAAAAAATATGTATCCCTTATTTTTCACTGCTTAACAGACATACGAAGTTTCATAAAAATCAGAGGGGGGCACTTCCGTGTCTTCCCTTGTTAATTGCGTTGCGTATTGCATTTCGACCCAAATATTTATTTTTTATAACATTTAAGATTTTACCAACTGACGAATGTTTTTTTTACATATTTCAATAATTTCTGAACGGGAAGGGTGGCAGTCCGTATTCTGGGGCTAGTTACGACAATGCATTATACCACTTATATTGTTTTCTGAAGAAGGTTGATACTCAGAAGTTAATTTGTAACAATTAAATAACAGATTCGAAATCCATGCGATTCAAATCCATGTTCCGAACTGTGTCT